CTTGCTTGGCCAAAGAGTGAAGCTCCTTAGATAGAATAATGTTGAAAAGTATAATCTAGTGAGTATCTAGCTTCAGTGATCTAGATTCAATTTCAACACGGTATAATATTACTTGCAATTGCAAAAAAGTATCATTCTGCAAAACCCATCTGGGACCTGAAGAGATTGGATGCCACTGTCTTTAATGATCTCAATCGCCCCACGAGATGCTGCAACGCGTGCCTCATGTGCACGTTTGCATTTGGCGCGCTCGACCTCTGCGCTCTTGTTCTCAAGATCCTCGTCTCCGGTGCCGGCAGCCCATTCCTTGAAATGCTCGGCAGACCTTTGACTGCACGCTTGGGACGTCTTGTCGACGTCATGATCACAGCGATCAACATGCTTGGCTGCAGGTCGTTTCTTGGGCGTCGACTTCCGTTTTGGTGAGGTTTTCACAACGCGCGCTTTACGTTTGGCCTTTGGTGATGGTCCTGCATCCTCATCATGAGTGCGCTTTGATGAAGACCGGGGGGCAGGACCTTCATGATCATCATGAACACCCCCACCACCTCGGCCTCGGCCGCGGCCGCGACCGCGACCACGGCCACGCCCTGCTGTCTTCTCAGCTTTCTCCTAGCACTTGATCTGCTGTATCCCAACAACCTACCCAAATAGAATCGATCTAGATCATGAAAAAACATGCGCATGCACAAATTCATACTGTTGGACCGGGGTCCTCCTTTCTTTGAAGTCGAAGGTCGGATTGTTTTTCCCTCACCTGGTTATATGAAGTCGTTGGCACCTCAACCACCATGCTGCCAGGTTCACGGCTCTGATTGGGATCCGCTGGACCAGAAATCGAATCTCGGCAGTCGTCCTGATTGGGCAGGGTGCTTTTATCGATCATGGCCATGGGGAATTTGGGAAAAGGATTTCGAGACAGCATCGATATCAAACTTGTTCAAATTAATTCGAGTTATAGTTTTGTTGCCAAATGACACCACCCGCATCCTCGATATCAGTTTCCCCTTGATCACTGATGCCATGATCATCTTGGGTAGCTGGAGGTTCGTCATGAAGTGAGTGAATCTCAACAGAAGGCTCACGCTTCAAGCCCACCTTGGCAGCCATGCGCGGGATGGTGAGGGGGATCACCGTGTAGAGTTTAAGTGGACATATACAGCGCTGCGAAACCCCAAACCATCCCAAACCTGAACAAGTGGTTGCACGCCAACGTCGCCCTCCAGTTTCATGCGGTAGATGTTCTTCAGAACAGCGAGTTCATGAGACCTGAGACTGCGGAATCAGCTCTCATATATTAAGCTGCAATCAAGTGCCATAAATTACCCAGGGTTTTAAAGCACCAATGTCGTCTAGACTCCTCGCTTCCCATGTCCTTGCACACAACCGGGTCAAATAAGTAGCCAAGGATTTCAATCTCGTTCCCTGAAGCTTGGCCCAATCCTTGATTTTTGGTTTAATGTTCGAACCAACAATCTTTCTATAGTGATCAGCTCAATGCGCACTCCATTGAACAAACATGTGCATAAAATTATACAAGTATCCCGTTTATGGCCTTTCCAACCTCTGCTCTTTGTCTCAGCATCCTTGTAGAGCTTGAACACGGAGCAAAGATGCAGCATAGCCACCTCGGGTATGATGGGACCCCCCAACCTCTACCTTTTTTCTGGGTTCTTGGTGATTGCTCATGATGTTATCGCCCATGGACAGACTCTAAAATAATCCATGGGACCTCATGATCTTTCACCGTTGGAAAGAAGGAATTCCCAAATTCCCATATATAGTTCTTGAGGATATTGTAGTTCACCGGTTTTTGCAGGTCCTCCTCCCCAACCTTGAGCTGGGAGTTCTCCATGTCAATGACTGGATATGCCTCAAGCACCGGGAGCCGACATCGAATTGTGTGATTGGCCTAGCCTCAAATGTTTTACGCAGAGGTCATGAACGCGACCATGACACTGGATCATCCCTGATTTCATGGACCCTGTTCTCCACGTGGGGCTTTAAAAGATTAAAGATTCGCAGCGACATCTCCTGAGCGAAAAGTGCATACCGTACTCAATTCGAATCCCAAGTCATAGTTCAAGACTGGAAATTGCCGCCTTCATAGGCAAGAGTCGGTGGTCTGAAAGCTGAGAGGCTTGGTGAACCTCCCCTGGCTATCCGCTGCCGCCATTACCCGCTAAGGAAAGTTGATCGCCGGCGCTGACTGCTCACACTGCAGCACACAAACACAGCATGCACACTCAAACACTAGTGCAACACAGCCTGAGCCACCGCTAGAGTCTTGACATGTATGTCAAGCAGAGGCAATCCATGGCATATCAATCAGTAATGAATCGTCTCGACCTCTAAAATAACAGCAGGCGAGGAAAAAAAGGGTGGATGCACCTTTGTCCGAGGAAGGTCTAAAGTGAAATGCCATTGCTCGAGACATCTCAGCACAAAAAAAGAGATCCTTCCTTGATCCCCAAAAATGGCTATCGGACTGCCATGGACTGGCTGTTGGCCAAAACACGCCCACAAGCGCGCTTTGGGTCCAAACACATCCTCAGAGCAAAACACATCCTCAGAGCAAACTAGCCGAGTTTAATCTATATGAGCGCTTGGACCCTCAGGGTAACCTTTGGTTTCTCAGGCTTGGGACAGTTACTGTACTGACAGATTGGGATTTTAGCCTGCAACATTCAGAAACTATCGGTGCCCAATACTGCCTATGATGCTCTGGAACGGGCTAAAAGCACGAATCCCACGGTTGGTTTTGGGTTTTCATATCTTTCTGCTGCTTGAGTAACGCTGAGTAAAGGCAGTTTGGGTGGCTGGATCCTGGAACTTCCCTCATTCCCTATACCCTTTGGTCAGTTGAAAGCCTTTCGTGGGCGACCCCCCCACCCAGCCACGGTCGTCGCTTGGCGTTCGTCTTTGGGCTCGAGCCGGTCCATCCCCGACGTCTGAGATGGCGAGGTGGGGAGCGAGCCAGCACCATGTGAGGAAGTTGATTTGAAAGTTTGAAAGTTCTCCAAATGTTTTCAAAATTCATTGAGTTAAGTTGTCCAAATGTCTTCAAAATTACTTGAGTTATCTTGAATTTCATTCGCATGTTCACGCAGATGTGTGCCAGACGTGACGTGTTGCTCCAAAGGATGGTAGTACTGTAAGGCATTTGTGCCTGAATTTGCTGGCGTTCCTGACACTGGCCAATGCCTGAGAACTATTGAATGACAAAAGGGAGGAGTGTATGTTCCATTCAGTTCGCATGAATCTGGCTCTCATGACCCTTCCCAGACGTCTCAAAGCCCCCCCATCATGTCTCTCCTCTTTGGGTCTTCGAAGGCTGGATGTGCTGAGACTCAGACACGACCCATGGCAATAAGACTGGAACATATGCCACCATATGCTACTAGGAACAAGTGCATCGCTAGTAGTAACAAGTGCCTTACTAGTAGTAACAAGAAGCTACTAGGAACAAGTGCCTTACTACTAGTAACAATAAGAATTTAATTGGAATTAATAGCTTCTTGTTACTACCATATCCAGAAAGACCCCGACCCCGACTTCCAACCACCCTTGGCCGGCCCTGGAGTCAGGACTTGGCCGTCCCATTCCCAGGTCGTGTCTGAAAAAAACGCGGGTGCAATGAACTAGAAATAAACTTAATTCTAATTACTTTTAATTCTATGATTCTATGTATTTCTTGTTTCTACTAGCGATGCCCTCGCTACTAGTAGTAAGGCCAGGAGCCCCTAGTAGCGTCCTTGCTCCCGCGTGGTGTCATCCAGCTCGGAAGCGACGAAACCTCCTCGCTAGGGCGGAGCTCTTGGAGTGCTGGATCTGCCGCGATGGTCGGAGCACAGCCGCTTTGGACCCGGATAAAACCGGGCGCCGGAAACGAGGGACGGAGTGTGGAGTGTGGAGGCGATGTATGATATTATATATACAGACAGTAATTTATAGAGAGACATAGAGAGTGGTGAAGGGATGGAGTGGTTTTGCCATGGTTTGTCCCCCAACATGAAGTCACCCTTGAAGCCATTTGAGCACTGACGTGTGATAAAAGGCATGAAAAGGACCATATTTGGCTCAATTATTGTATAGAAGTCGATCGGTGTGGGTTGGGGCTCCCAAGCTAGTCTTTGTTACACCTGTAGTGATATGTAGTGATAAGAACTGTCGTTTGAGTGTGATATTTGATGCATGTTGATGTCGTTCATGTTTGTTACCTTCAGACATGTTTGCCTGTGGAGCAAGGTCACTGTCGGCTTTCTGCAGACCCAGAGGCATTTGTTTATAATTGCAAAAGCTCCACCAGGGTGTGGAACCACTTTAGCGTGTTTCCCACCGGCGATGCATCTGGATGGGGTGGAACCAGCATCATCAGTGCATCGGACGCCTCCACGCGGGTAAAACTGCATCCATCACGAGGGGGTGCAGATGCTGTTGAGCGCCCTCATTCATTACACCATCACATACCATCACCACTGATTGGCGAACGTACTGCCACTTCCAATGCCGGCCGGCTTTTGTTTGCAGCTTAGCTCCAGGAAGGCCCATGGAGGCCCCATGTTGAAGCGCGGACCAACGTCACGTCCCAGCGCCGACCTCGCCGTAGCACACAGTGACATGATCACCATTGATCACCTTTCTGTTCGCTACCCCAGCGAACAGGATCGGAAAAGGGGAGAGCTTTCTGATGGGAAGTGGGCCAATTTGATTATGTATTCAATTGTATTCATATGTATTCCCTATATTATATATATATACGATATATATATATATACATAGGGTCTTTACAACCATCCCCTATACATATAGTACATACACAGGGTATATATATATATATATTAGTATATCCATAGGGTCTTTGAGTGCGGGGAGGTCTGTTATAACCATCCCCTGCCAATGCTTTATCCTGTTCTGCCGGCTTCCGCGCACGGCCCCGCCCATCCAACCACGTCGCGTTTGAGGAACCGTTGGTCCAACCCTGCCAATGCCGTGGTTCCATGGGCGGCGTGCATGTGGCTGGGACGGCCGAGGGCGGTGGAGTCGATGCGCCGAAGAGTCAGATCGCCCCTGAAACCAATCCTCATTGGAAGGCATGTTTGGTTTACTTGTCTGGGGCCCTGGTGCTGCTTGGAATAGGCCAACACATGCAAGAACTTATGTCAGTCAAATTGGAAGGCCGAGCTCTCCCAATAAAAGCTTTGCTTTCGAGGGCTGCCAAACAATACATGTGTAAATTCAATTCATATATTCAGTTCAAGTTGCCATAAATTTTTCCTGCACTGTTGCCTCGACTCTGTTGTGGCTGTGAAACAATGTCGTGTTGGAATGAACAAGACAAACGACTCCAGATCTTGCTTCTGATGCAGCTAATCCAGGAAATACATTTGCCATCCTAAGTACTCCGAAATACATGGATCCAACATGAAGGGCTTCTCATGATGGTAGGTGGATTTTGTGGAGGAACCCTTGGGATTTCTGTCGGACTCTTCTGCCTGACTCTGTTCCGAACATTTCCGAACAGCGAGGCCTCTTGCGTGGAAGCTTGGGTGGAGTATCATCGGAGGAGCTCCTTCCAAGGCGCGACCGTCGGCAGCGACCTTCCAAACGTGTACATGATGGAATTGGTCGGTGGCCGAAACTTTGGCAGAGCCATTGGGATCAGGTTGGATCTTTGGATCTGGGTACCCTTTTGGGAGAATCTTGTTGGTTTGCAGTGAAAGATGAACTGCCAGCTTCTTCAGTGAAGTGACCTTGTTGAAGTCCCAGCCAGTGAACCTTTTGACATGCCTGTTTTTCAGCGGCCTCGAACCTATCGACCGGTCACTTGAAACAATCAGGTGTATAGTGGTCATGAGACCCAGACGAAAGGGAGTCCGGGGGGTTTTCTTGTGGTCTTGGAGTTTAATTGTTGAACCGTTACTTGGAATGATTGAAGCCACCAACTCATATGTTTTCAATTGAGTTGAAGCTAGCAATGAGTGGAGAGAACCTCTTCCAACCACTTAGTTGGAACAACATGGAGTGTTTTTCGTCCTGTCTGGAAATAGGCCCGAAAATCGCCAGTCTATAGAAATCCTTGATAAACAAGCGGCACAGAGACCTGATATCGATGTGATTTGTTGCACTCCAAAGAATCAAGGAAGTGGATGGCGCCCCTTGGAAGACGATGCTCCTTTACGAGGGTTTAATAGGGTTTCCACTTTTATGGGTATTTGTTCAGATGTTTTGCTTGAACAAGGACAGTCACAAAAGGATTCACAAGCTGATGCGTGGGATGGCATCATTTCCACCTACGTGGTCACGCGGTCACACCAAGGTCCCTGGACCCTTTTCAAAGGGTCACTTACTTACTGAACTTGCTGGACCTGCAAGTCATTATTTCTGGACCTGCAAGTGACTGCCATGACCAACTTACTGAACTTGCTGAGATTGTCATCATTTCTGTTGGACCTGCAGGTGCTGATGCTCCCTGCTGCCCTGTTTGCCGCACACCGCAGCTTGGGAGTTAACGCCGGACAACGCGTCGTCCGGAATCGCGGAGCAAAATGGGTCAAACCACCAGACATGGGCAGAACTTGATGGATGGGATAGGCCGGCTTGGGCCATTCTTTGAAAGGTTCCAAGGGTTGCAGTAGAACAACTGGCAAGAAGACCCTTCATGATGAACCAATGAATCTAGTGAACCTCATGAATCTGAGAAGCAAGTGATTAACTTAACATTTGTTGGTTGTTTGCCTTCAAAATAAACCAATCTGAAAGCTCCGGGAGCAGATGTGCTCAATCCTCCATTTCTCCGAAAGATTCAAGACTGTTGACGGTCTGGAAGACATTCCTTCGTACCCCGACAAGGGAGGGCATCGTTGAAGTGCATGTGTTCTCATTAATACACCAGCACCTTCCAACAGGCCTTTGGAGGGTTGTTAGGCCCTAACAGGTTTCAATTGGTGACCTGTTGGAGGTGCTGGCATGTGATTGCACTACAGATCCCGGTGATCACATCGCTACCTTTATTTGCAGTGTGTTTCCTCAAGTCACTTACGCAGATAGACAACTTCCATGAGTCTTTTGAGGTGTCATACTCCAGCAAATTTTTTGAGACAAGTCCCAGGTTTGTTGAGCAAGACATCCTGTCCGGAGTACTGAAGAAGTTCCTTAGTACCAAACAAGATCTAACTCCAGACTCCGATCTGCACTTTGACAATTGATGCCTACCGTATTTTGTGACATCCATCAATCACTACAATAATTTGTATATTATTAGTTTTGTTTCCCTAATTATGTTTGCAGCTTAATCAGTCAAGAAGATTAATAAGTTAAGATCATAATGTGATTTATGATCAACAGTAGATGATGTTGGATGAAGCTGGGTTCTCTTGAGGTCCACTGCTTTGCAGCGGTTGGGAACCTTACGTTCTCTTCGCCGCAGGTATGGCGGACACAACATGGCCCCCGGACCCAAAATCTTCGTCCGCCACTTGACGCGGTGCTTCGGCCAGCAACTCTGGCTGACGGTGTCCGAAGCCATTCGCTTCGTGGTACTGGGCACACTGTTGGTGCACTTCTGTAGGCGGGACGCGACGCTGTCACCCGTCGCCCGTGTTGGATGTTGGATGTCGCCTGGCAGAGGGCGAAATGAATTCTTCAGTTTTCTTCCATGTATGGCTTCGATGGGGCCAGGGCTGTCTTGAAAGTTGGGTCCCAAGGTTCTTCGACAAAGAGCACCTATCACTATCACATTTTTTTCATCATAATAGGCAAAAGAGTGCCAAACCTCTTCCCAACAACCTTCCCCCCATTCGGACCTCCCACAGGCGTCCTCACCTCCCTTCGAAAGGGCCTAACGGGGGCCGCGAAAGTGAAGAGGAGCGCCGCTGGACGAAGCTCGCGGGGGTCCTTCTGTGCCTCGGTCTGAGGTCCTTCGCACGGGGGTGTGGAGGGCGTGTGTGTGAGGGTTTATGTTTTGTTGTTTAAGGGGTACAGTCACAGGCGTTCGCCATTGGCTTGGAAACAAAACATGTTTCAGGGGATCTCACTGCGAATAGAAGCTGCGTAAAGCTGGTGATCATCGATATATCATCGATGACAGTGGTCATAGTGCTAGTAGCATGCAGCATGCTCATGTTCTTGAGTGTGATCCTAGGCTGGTGTTTTCTGGCCAGCGATGCTGATTTCCATTGAACCTTGATGTTGGCGACTGCCAGATTGTGTGATACCTTAGTGAATGCAAAGCAATGCACATTCGTGACACACCTCCGTGGTATACCTCGGCCAGTATACCGACGTACTTGTACTTGTACTGAGATCCTTCAAGACGTTGTTCGAAAAATGAAGAACTGGAGCTCTCAAATGGAAAGGCTTTTGAGGCTCCGGCCTGCGGTTCCAAGGTCCAGTCGAACCAAAGAACCATCCCAAACACGCCACACCGCTCCAACGAACCACCCTACCTCGCGGCTTTCATCGAACAAACTACCTCGCCTCCGAGGTGTTTCTTCTTGCTCCACACCTTGCTGGTCTTGTTGGTCTCCTTGCCTCCGAACCGTCCGCTCCCCCAGCGCGTGGTGGTGCGCGCCTTCTTCACGGCGGATACCTGGCGCTTGGCACGACATGTGGCGGAGCTGTTGGCCTCAGTGCTGTTGCTGGGAGGGCGATGTTTCTACGGCGCCTGGGAAGAAAACCCCCGCGCGCTGGAAGATGAGCTTAAATGTTTAAGTTGATGTTGTATCAACGAATATCAACTATAAGGCATATATTTATATACAATATATAGAGATGTGTGTTTGTTGGGCAACTCGTTGTTTCGGAATGACACTCTGCCATGGTGAATATTAAGGTTTGTATGACAACTTGGTGGACGTTTGTCGCTTCAAGCAGTTGGCGACGTCCTGCAAGCAAATATTTAAAATTGAAATAGAATAAGTAGTGCATATCATTAGGACCGCTATGACTTGTTTTTCTAGATACCCCCATGAAAAGGACGCTGGTGCATGAGCTGAACTGTTTTCTGACCAGGTGATTTGCCCTTGCTGTGCTTTCTCCCCGTGGGCTTAGTGGCCTTGCTACCGGTGGTGCAGCTGCTGCTATGGTATAGACCTAGAGATTGCTGCCGAGAGGCCGCTCTGATGTTGGGCTGCTTAATGAGACTCGGCTCCAGAGTTCTCCACGGCCACCATTTGGACAGTGTGGTCAGTACACGTGTGGTTCAGAGATGTTCAGAGGCGGCCTCTAAAATCCAAAGCCCAGATGGGCTTGGCATGAATTTTGGGACTTTGTTCATTGGAGTATCATCAGCCATCAGCGGCACTGGCACACTCTGCCTAAGTTGTTGCACGAACCGACCAAAGAAACGCTCAAGTTCTCATGCGCCTCCACAGGTTCCCCCTCCACCAACCAGTCGTCACTTGTCAGTGACGTCATGGATGAAGGGACTCCCACATTGGAAAATGCTTCAACTGACACTGGCTAGAAGTTGTCTTCTCGTCAGACCGAGCCAAGCAGCGGGCTTGAAGCGGGTGAGCCACGAAACGCGCTTTTTTCGCGCCCGAGTGCGACTCAGAGTGCTCCACCGACCAGCCAGGAGTGCTCCTCTTCTCTTGGCCATTGAGCTTGGGCAACTGGCTTGGCAATGCCGATGGCGTTTCTTCAACGTCTCTTGGACACCCCTGGGTGGTCACCAGGAGTGCAGAAATGCGTAGCGGCCAGCAGTGGCCAGTTGAGTGATTGACCCAGCCACGATTTGTTTCCCCATGCCTCAGTCGATGTGCCGTTTTTCGAGCACCTGCCATGTGGGAGCAATGAAGCGAGGGTGGAAGATGTGGTTTCAGCAACGGACCCAAACATCGCCAGCTCAGGCTCCACCACACAACCAATGAATGTGAGGCTTTACCAGGGGGCAGCATGCGGGGGGTCGAGTTGAAACGTGGGACGGAGTTGAAACGTGGAGCCCAGAAGTGGTCTTTTCAGCGGGTTCGGCGGGACTCGGCGTGAGCTCATCCTCTTCAATTCCCCAGCCGGGCCACCACAAAGACCAGAACCTACAGCTTGGGTGGTCCCTTGAGGTTTGAGCTCTTGCGTTGTTCTCTTAAACAGGAATCACGCTTGGAGGTATCTAGATCACCCCCAACTTAAGCATGATAAAGTGAAGTGTGTTCCAAATGCACTGAACGAGGGCAATTGACATTTCAATCGAATCTATAAAGGAATTTCAGGGGTTAAATACCATACCTCCTGAGAAGCTTTTTGGATCCTCCAAACCCACCCACCCAGTCCCACCTTCTCAGGATCATAGGTCATAGATGGCCTTTTACTATTGGTTGATTGATAGAGGGGATATCCCCAAAAGAATTGTTTAAATTACTAATTACAACAAAATACCTTATAAATATATATATATATTTAAAGTCTATTGATTTGAATAATTGAAATATATATATATATACATATGTTACCTGGCACTGACCCAGAATTCCCACGGTCCGGACATCATTGCTCATCGTGATGAGACTGCTGCTGAGGTCCGGGATGGCCCGCTGCACCTGTTGATTGCACTCATCGCTTGTCCCTTAGCCTTGCTCCGCACTTCCCTTACACCGGCGCTGGTGCTCTTCGCGGCACACTCGGCGTTGATTTCACTCTGCTTGGTCGCCAGGGGCTTCCAGCACTGGATCCTTGGACGAAGGCGAGTGTTGGCGTTCTCCAAATCCTGGCCCCTGGTTCCACAGACACTCCAATCTCACTCACCTGGAAGTGGTTTCTCGGAGGGCACCTTTGCTACTTGGACCATCCTGGCACCATGAAAACATATAAAAACATATTGATCGTCGATCACATTGTGGAGTATCGAGTCCATCCTGTCCGGAGATCTAGACAAATATGAGAAACCCAGACGCTCCTGGACCCTCATATGCAGGGTCGGACCCTCGTCTGGACCCTCAAATCCATATGGTTTTGAGGGGCCAAGGGCTGTTTGGAGCGTCTGGGAAACATGTAATTCTAGACCATGTCATGTATGGAATCATTCTATGCCTCCCCATGGATCCCCCAAACCAACCCAACTGATGTAGGCACCAGTCCCCTGGATGGTCTGGGCTGGGGCTTCGAAGAGGATGAAGGTGGAAGAATGACGTGCTGGAAGGTACCACCATGGCGTTGAGCAATTGACCTTGACATGACCATTGGGTTGAGCATTAGGTTGAGCAAGGGTACCAAGGTACCATCCTTCATCCTTAACATGACTTCACACCCAGTTTGACGAAATTGGGATCAGCTTGAAGGTCTGACGGTGGGAGACTGGAGACTGTAACATTCAAAGATGTATTTTGGATAAAGAACCGCCACCCTGGACCATTCGCGGCATGGGGCATCACTGTGCATCTCTGCAACATTGTTAGAGAACGTACCTTTTCTGAAGCACTGACGACAACCAGAGAGTGCATTAGGCGTTAGCGGATCTGGCGGATCTCAGCTTGAACATGTTTGTCTAAACAAACGGGACTGACTCTTCAAACCAACTGCCGAACCACGAACTAGTGAATGTTCAATACTCTGAAGTAACATCTGAAGTAACATCAACCCCAGACCACCCTCCACCATGAAAAGATAAACAACCCGTGAGACCATCAACCCCAATGATAGTCCCCATGTATCAGACCAACCTGACACCGACGCGACATTCCCCCAAATCTGCTTCTAATCAGGTCCGACTCCTTCCACATCCACCTCCCTCCCTCCTCAGGTACCCCACCTGCGTCGCCTGCGTGACCGAGCGTTGCTGCTGCCTGGCGCGGGGCATTTGCCACGTGGGTGGCTTTCGGCGCTTGGCACGGCACGGGGCCCCGGGGATTGGAGTGCCGACTCCAGACGCTTGGGACCTGGGACGCATGGTGCCCCTGCTGGTGCGCACAGCTTCGCATACCGCTGGTATGGACGGGTATGTTGAGAGGAAAAGAACTCCATGTGCTGAAGTCTGAAAAGTGTGCTGAAGAAGGGGAAGGAAAGAAAGTCTGATCCGCTAAGCCTACAAGTTATCAAACGCAGATTTCGAACCAAGGGGTAGTCATATCTATATCCCAGACACTCCATGTATGCCATATATCATATATGCCTATACATTGACCCCCCAAACCACCCCAATGTAGGCATACATGGCATACATGGAGTGTCTGGGTATATAGAATCGACAATTGATGAATAATATATACTCATGTATATATATATATATATATTATATATATATACTATACATCATTGGCAAATTGGCAATATCTAGTCGTTGCTGTTCTTGTCAGATCTAATTCCACCTGGGGGGCTCCTTTGATTGACTCTCTGCACATAAGGAGATGCCTGCGAACGAAGCTGCAAACGGTGTTGCTCAAGGTAGTACTGTACAGGGCTCTTCAACCATCTTCAACCTTTGCTTCAGCAGAACATTCATTAGACAGCCCGATACCAAGCCTCCCAGACAGTGAATGGTGTGTTACTTTAAGTAACTTTATGTTATTTTGAAGAAAAACTTGTTTAGATCTCTTCCACCAAGAGACCAATTGCCAAACTTTAGCGTATTTTACATGACTTAGGCTTCAGAAAAGGTCACCAACAGGGACTCCAAAAGACGAACGCTCCCACTCCACACGACCCACGGAGCGCCGCATGTTCAGGCGGGAGCCTCGCGCGGAGCTGGTGCCTGTGTCTTGGTTCGTTCAGGAAGTGACAGATGACACTGTCCGGGAGAACTCAGGAAAAGACCATGTTGGGTCATTCAGAGACCTAGATGTTTCGCACAAAGAGAAGGAAGCTCGCATGCGGCTGACATCACCAGGTATTGGTGCCATCCAGGATCCGGTACACCCCGTGGTGTCCGCGAACCCTTTGTGCGGGGAAGTGAGAGAAGAATCGAGGAAGATGATGAGCTTCATTGATTGGCGCCTAAAACAGGACGTTCACAGAGCGCATCTTTGAGTTTCATCGAGTTCTTCATCTTCAATAGTCAATATAGTCTGTTTGTCTTTAGCACCAGAAAACGTTGACCTCACTCATACACACATCATCTACCACCAAAACATATACCAATGTCTTTTTTAAACTTGATGTGTTTGGGTCCACCCACCATCACCCATCTCCAACACGCCTGGCGGAACTGCCACACCTGTGGGTCCGAGGCGCACCGTGGCACTTGGCGGCCGGGCAACACCTGGTTCTTCGCGGTGCTGGTGGCTCTGGCCGCCTGGCCGTTGACCGACCGGTACCGTCTCGGGGGAACGAGGCCATCGCATCCGCGGTCCCAGACCGGAGGAGGGACTGGAAGAGTTGCATATGAGTATATCCCATCATGGATCCCATCCAAATGACCCACATGTCATGCAATGTAACCTTGAGATTCTTTGGGGATTGGTTTCACGTGTTTCACGAACTGGTGATGAACAAGTAAAAGGTGACACATGGTTAACTGTTAGTTATTTTCCAGGGACACTATTGGAGTGAGGAATAGATCTGAAACAAAGCAGCTGAAAATAGGCATTCTTTACCAGTGGACACGGTGGCGCACGAAGAACGAGGAGATGTTGTTCGTAACTTTTCTAATGGCGGACTCTTGCAAATGTTTGGTGGTCCATGCTAAGTATGTGGGGTGTTTTGTTTGGGGGATATGAAAAAAAATATATTTCGGTGTGTGTCGTCTTATTGAACAAATAGGACTTTGGGGTCGCACATGAACGCCATCATGACTCATGAAGGTTTCAGGTGGCATACATACCCAATGAGGAGTCCTTCTGTCAATACACCAGTTGTTGTTCCCTCAATGATCTTCTGTCATAGAGCCAGAGTCAGATCTCAAACATCGTTAGAATCACCATCTAGGACTTCCAGTCAGATCTCTGTAATTCCTTTGGTACCCAGCAGGATGCCTCCTCTCTTGAGCGTAAACGAACGCAGCTAGATCGTCGTCACCGCCTAAAAGTGACATTGACCCATGAAGCTGGTTCGTACATGGCGTGTTCGGAACTTGGAAGCCAGTTGGGTGTGTATCTTAATAGGGAGCCCCCCTTGCCCAATGGGTAGACTGGTCTTGTTCCCTCTATTTCCTTTCCAAAAGAACCGGCTGGTCTCCCTATTTTAATGCGACATCCAATTAAATTCAGTTCTGTTCCATCTCCTTTTTGGCGAAAAAACAGACCCTTTCGCCCTCAGGAAGCCTTTAGCCTCGCGGTGGAGCAGAAGTGGGCGCCTGGGCCTGTTGGGTAGTTTTTTTTTTTGATTTTGGATCTATTACATAGCCCGGACACTCCATGTGTGCCATATTTGCCGATTAGGTGGGTTGGTTTGGGAGTCATTGTAGGCATATATGGCGCACATGTGTCTGGGTGCAGGACCGGTTGGCTGTTCTTTCATGTACAATTCACTATTTGGGAAGGAGTACCCCAGGCCCATCCAGGCCCCGTTGACAGATATTCTTGGGACAACTTTAAACCACCATTTACAGGAATTGGATAATTCAATCATGATTACGGCATCGTGGCTCCATTCTCCGCAGCCTGTCCGAGTGTGAGCTCACATCCAGGTTGTTGGTTTGATCTACTGCTAGCTGTTGACGCGTTCATGTTTTGTTCATTGTTATTCCATGATGTTCCATGTTTTCTTGAAACACAATTCCCCGACAAGTCGAGCTCAATAACCACCTGGAACTGCCAGAACTGCTTTTAGGGTGTTATCAGATCTTAGACATGGAAGACGACTTGGAGCTTTCACAGCCCGATGGAAGAGGAAGGCCTCCTGGCAGAGGCAGAGGTCTTCTGCCAAAGGCTCAATCGAAGCCGTACGCATTGGGGCCTTGAGAGGGATTCCCTTGCCGCTCGTGTGGCCTCCACTGAAGACCGGGTGCGGTCGCTCCAGCAACGCAATGAGCAGCTCACTTTGACCGTGAAACTGCTGGAAGAGGCGCTGGTGTCCTGCCGTAGTCGGTCAGCGGAGTGCCTGGGGGGAGCTCTTCAAAGGTCTTGGTCCGGTGGAGATCACGGGCGCTCCAACGGATCGCCTGGGAGCAGTCGGTGCTGATGCCGAGTGGAGGGCTTTAGCCCTCCGCATCCCTCGAAGGCGCAAGAGCTGGGCTGAAGCCAAAGCAGCCGTGGCATTGTCCAAGGCAGGGCTTCCGGAGGAACAGATTGAGGAGACGGCTTCGTGTCGTCCAAGCAAAGACCTCGAAGACGAAGTCGAAGGCTCTCAGATCGAGCAGGGAACGACTCGCAGTGGTGTGGGTGGCAAGCATCCTTGGGAGGTGGTCGCAACACTGCATTCTCCTCTTGATGATGGTGTACGCAGTGCACGAATCTTCCAAGGTGTTTTGTTGACAGCTGCAGAGGATTCATCAGTCAAGGCATGGGATCTAGGCAGCATACCTCAAACCAGGGAGACTCCTTGCGAAGACTTGGAGCCCTTTGCCAAGTATCGTGCTCACAGTGGCCCAGTTCTTTCGCTGGCTTTGCCTGACCCAGAGTCATGCCTTCCCCTGCCGGTGGCTTTCTCCGGAGGGATGGACGGTGACATTTATTCCTTTGAGCTGCAAATAGACGCGTCCGCAGACGCGTCCTCGGCGCTTCGTCCTGTCCAGCGCTATCGAGGCCACCAGGAAGCCGTTCTCTCCTTGGACCTGCAGTCACGGATCGGCCTGCTGGCCAGCGCGGGTGCGGACCAACTGGTCCTCTTGTGGCGAGTGAACCCCACACTCGACGACGGCAGACTCGCGAGTCCATTTGAGGTGTTGGACATTCCTCCGCCACATGGAAGCGAAGAGAGCAGCTTTGGTCCCCTGACCGATTTAGCCTGGGGCCCCCGAAGTGGAGCTACTTTGCTGTGCTGCAGCAGATGGGCAAGTACCTGTTGCGCCATGGATGCCGAGCAAGGCGTCGCAATCTATGGTTCCAGTGTCACAACTCGAGAGGACCGCACGGCACCAGTACTTGCTGTGGCCAGTCACGCTCTGCGGGATATTGCTGTCAGTGGTCATGCAGGTGGTGGTGGTGCTCGAGTCTTCAGCGCTCTCACAGGGAGGCCCATGTGGACCTTGGAGTCTGGGGACAAAGTGATTTCCTCAGTGGCCTTGGACCCCTTTGGCAACGGTTTCGAAGTCGTCACTGCCAGCAGTGATGGTTCCTTGCAGATCTTTGATTTGAGAACTTGTCGCTGTGTCCAGGAGGCTCAGCTACATGCTTCATCCGGCATCAATAGCGTTTGTCTTGCAGGAGACTTCATCGCTACAGCAGGGGCAGACGCGGTGGTGAATTTGCTTGAAAAAAGACAGGAGGTTAGCTAGCCCTCAGGAAAACCAGAGAAAACACATGAAGAGGATAATGATGTGTCCATGCAGCTCTCCAGCAAGGACGGGCGCGCAGCACCGTCCTTCTCTTTCGCAAATCACACTGGAGGAGAGGTCGCCGTACTTGGTCAGACCAGAAAAAGGCGCGAAAGCGGCAACGGTGAAGGCTTCGATATGGTCTTTCATCCTTACGGATAATGAACTGGTGAGATCAGCTGGTGTTTTGTTTGTCACCTAAAGGTTTCGGGTGGATCCGTGTACGTGCAAATAATCAAATGATCCGTTTTGAGGGGTTTGAACATTGGAAGATCATGTTGTTTGGGAAATCTGTCCATGACCGGGCCCATGCCACATTCGCCACGCACCAGGTGACCTTGCTCTTGTTGCTCTTGGCGCTTCGAGCGCTGCAGCGTGCCGCTCTGGAACCGCCACCTCCCATGACGCCTGGAGGGAGGGGATTCGAGCGGGGGAGCGACAGCAAGGGGATGGGCGCTTACACGACCTCCAAGTAGGTGGGGTCCGGATAGAGAAGATGGGGTCCCGGTCCGCTGGTTCTCTGCCGATGTGCTGCCTGTGGGCGCAGGACCGGGATCCGAACTTGTGCACCTGAATGCCCGACCAAGCAGGTATGCAACCGAAGATCGGTGATGTTGTTGATTGAAGATCACTGGTGATCAGTTCTATCCGCTTGAATCTTGAATATATATTGAATCTTGAATATATATTGAATATACATCAAAGATCAAACAGTGTGAGACCCGTGGTTCTTCAATAACCGTTCGGCACGTTCGCAAACTGGACCGCGTTTTGGTTGTTCCGTCGCTTGCAGCGTCAGCGAGCTGCTCAGTCGTTTTGCTCGGAGAAACCGAGAGCGGAGACCCCGAGTCGACCGGGTTGGACAACTCATGGACAATGACCGTTGATGAATAAGACATCCCAACGGACCCTGCATAGAAGGGGTCGGACCCTGCTGTTCACAGGGGGTTGTACCCTCAAAAGCCTTTTTTTTGAGGGTCCGGATCCTTAGGGATGTATAAATGTACAATGTAAATACACAAGTTACATGTACATTGGATATGTTAAAATAATCCATCCGTCTCCGGTTTACATCTGGTGCCAGGGTGGGGGGTATCATGTTTGATTCACATCCGACCCACAGGTTCCACCTGATGGCATCGAAGATAACCAGAGCGTATCAACGACTACTCTACACTGAATCTCTATATATATATATGTTGTTTCCTTTACAATAGCACTGTTACTGGTATTACGGCAATATTAGTATATTTATATGATATATGATATATATATATTACTTTTTCCTGTAATAGGATCATATGACCTGTAATAGGATATGACCTGTTACTGGTAAGATAGACCCAACGGTCTATATGAATTCGGTGGTGCTCCACTTGGACCCTCCGTGTCGGCACGTCACGGCGCCGGTTGAAGCGCGCCGGTATGTCCGCCACATGATGGCGCAGAAGAAGGACAGCTTGGTAGGCTTGGTGTGAGCCCTGGAAGGCTTTCTTGGTTCATCATCATATATATATGTTATAGTATATAACATATTATGGCAGGTCCGACTATGGTTCAATGTGAGTCACTGATTTTCATCAGTAGATCCTGTATCGGTGGGTGCCAGGAACTTTTACACTCAGAACTACTTTTAAATGTGTTTGCAGCTCGATGTTTCCTTTTTGCAACTGCACTGGCATCGTGATGGATGAGTTGCAACAAGTGAAACTAGTGAAACGCCTGGCTGAAACTAGTGAAATGAAACTCATCTATAGAACCTCCGTCGCGAGCAGTGCAAGCAGTGCAAACCCTAAATCTACAGCGTAACTCTATCATCGCGTCATGACGGGGCCGGGTCTCAGCCCGAAAAAAGGCTCGAGTCGCTGTTCGTTCGAACGTCATGACGAGGCCTCGCAATGGCATCGGCTCGCTGTTGCTGCAGGGGCCCATGTGGTGGTGTTCCCTTTTGGCACCTCGGTGTAGCACGAAGGTCGGAAGGCAACGTCGTGGGGAGATAGGCAACCCTGGTCTTAGCAAACCTGGATATTAGTGTTCTGTTTTGATGTCATCCACCAAGGTATCCACCAACTGGTCATAAGGTATAAAAGATATTCAAATATCGATGCGTCTTTTGTGTGCGGGCTTGATATCCTGGACTATACAATGATGATCAATAATGTGTTTGTTTGACCCCTTTTATATACTTACTTGGTGTGTTGACATATCAATTCCATCGATTCTCATAGAATCCATTGATTCTCCTGGAGTCCATCTACAATTGCTGAGATGGATCCTGATTACTGTTACTATATAATCCATGTATTTGTCCATACTGCTCATTCATACTCATTCAATTTATACTACATTCATATCGATGCATATATTCCACCATATATCACTCATCCTATTCAATCCTGCTTGCCCTCATCCGATTCAATCCGCCCAGGTGGCTGGCGAGGCCTCCGGGCTGCTGCTGCGAGAGCTCGGCCCGCCGCGGGACTTCCCCAGCGCGCGGTCGGCCACTGGGCGAGACCCAGAGAATCCGAGTTTCATGGAAGAGTGACCTACATGACCCGGGTCACTTGGGTCATACATCTGCTAGAATGGGTCATGGCGCCATGCTAGAATGGGTCATGATCTAGAATATGTACATATAGTAACATATGCTAGAATGGGTCATGGCGCCAAACAAAGATCTCAGGTTTCAGTCCGTGATCCAAGGCAAATTGGAGATGTCCGGATTGACCCGGGTCATACATCTTAAATAGAGTAGATGTAACTAGATTTATCATATATCTATAACTATTTCAGTCCCATGGGATGGTTTGGGAGAGGTAGCAGCTGAGAGCGTCCCTGTCCAGCTATAACACTAAAAACTGTTCGTATTGGTTTTAGCCCGGATCCTTTAAACTGTAAGGCAACACTATTACCCCGTGGCCGTGGAAGACTAACATGAACCCTGATATGTTACTAGTTTGTAGAAGAAAGCAGTCTTTCACTTTCAGTGTGCCATTCGACCTGGGTCCATGCTAGTTTTCGGGAGTGTACCTATATGACCCACGGTCAAGACGCGTTGATTCATGGCGCAGGTTTGTTTTTCAAAGAAGCCCTTCTCATCCTTCTCGGCCTGGAGTGTTCCTGGAACCTTCGAGTTGGATGCTGAGGTGGCGGTGGCCTCAGTGGCTTGGTTGCTCCTTTTGGCCTCCTTGGCATGCTCAGTGAATTGGAGCCGCTGCTGCTCAGGTGAGTGTTTTGGGGGGACGGGGGGCGTGTTTTGTCGGCCAGGAAGGAGGAGCTGAGGCAAGGTGAATTGCGGCATTTTAGGCGAAGGCGCGCTCGTAGGGATAGGAAGGAGATGGAATCAGGATGTTTGTTGTCCAGAGCTGGGGAGTGACATGGAAGAAGAGCAGTTCACCCTTAGGCCTCCGAGCAGCAGGCCGAAATCGGTCCATGGATAAGTGTCACCCTGCAATGCAGTATCAGTTCAACTGTTTGTGCATGTAAGAGCATACATCAATATCAACGTACCAGTGCTGGTCAGGTCTTTACCCAATACCATTGTGGAGTTGGTGGTCTCCGCCTGCCAAGCAACAAGTGTCTTTAGAGGTCCCCCACATGGCATCAAAGATAGAAGTGGCTCTTGGTCATGGCATGCAGGGAACCCCGGTGACTTTCCATATATGAGAAGATTCGGAGACTTTCGGAGACTAGGGCTGTCAATTCTGTTACAAAATGATGGGAGGCTTCACTTTGTGGATTCTACCTCCAGCACAGGTCAGCAAGGAACAGCAAGGTCACATGCTGCCAAACTGTGCCCGTGGACCGTGCTGCGTGGGCGTCATCGGTGCAGGCTACCGTCGCTGGCAGCAGAGGAACTCGACCTTTGTGCTTGCACTCACGGCGCCGGATCCATGATGCGCTAAACAAAAAGGGGCGCCGTTTTCGCCGGTCGTTTTGGTCCCAAAAGACAGCGCGCATCATCATCCCAAATGGCTCCTGGCCGACAGGGCTCCTCAAAGGCTCCTAGGCTCCGATCGATCCATGACTCGTGGGTTTGCAAGATCTGATCAGGTTCACAAAACAGATACAGTACCTTTTCAAACATAGTAACCATCCAGAGGAGACTTCGGGGAGAGCCACTCAGTGTAGATTGTCAGTAGTGATTGTCAGTATATTCAAGAATGATCTATCGCATTAAAATACATTTCAAACACAACCATTCTGACAACCCTCACACAACTCCGTTTTCAGTGTGTGATGGCATTAATGCATTTATATATTCATATCCCTAGTTTGGATGTTGACAGACTTCGCAACCAACCAGATTTTGCAGCATCAACTGGCAAGGTTAGACATCATGATGTTTCCTCCCTAAATGCTCTATGGGAAGTGTGTCACAGGTCTGGCGAGCCCAATCTCCTGTTGCTCCGGTGCAGGCGCAGCTGATTGGTGATAGCGGCTGGTAGGAATTTATCTCATTTATCTCTAATATCTCTCTATATAGAAGTAATATATGCATTATTATACAACACAGAGATATTATGTTAGTAATTTCGTACAACTATATGATTATATATATTATATATTTATATAACTGTATATATATATAATATATATATATATATGGATCTTCAAATGGACGAAACGTACTTTCCACAGGACCTGACCTTTTGCCTTGACCCGATTTGCCCCGAAGACTTGTTCGCCGGGGCTCCGTGGAGGCAAACCTGGCACGGCGCATTTCTGGAGAAGGATGGCAGGTGCCGTTGCCCAAGTCGGAGGGACACAGGGACAGGGGTGGGTCGAGTCGGAGAGTGGCGTGGTGGCGTGGCTTTGGAGGGACACAGCTTGACCTGAGCAGCTTCAAAAAGAAGCAAGGGTGAGAGTGACAGAGTGATGAAGTCGATGGATGGTGAACTTGCATGATTTGAATGAAGATATCCTTTGAAATACCGATGACCCTCTCTCCAACAATCTTGGAAGTGGCCAAACAGGGGGTTGTCCATTTCCAGTTTTGTTTCAGCTTGGGTTTGCTCCAAATCGATCCCCTGTTCCAACAACGGTCGCGCTTCAGGGACTCAAAGATGCAGCCGGAGGACCAGACGGCCCGAGGACCTGACGGCCCTGTTGGGTGAGAGTGTTGGAATATGTTGGAGTATGTCATGTTTATAGCTCGGATCTCTGGGGTGTACCAAGTGATTGACATGATTGAGGTGCCCCCACCATGCATCCACAAGAGGGAACATGAACGCCCAACATGTAAGAATTGCAAGTTATCTAGGGGGATGTGTTTTCAAAAATAATAATACATGAAGGGTGGCCATGGCTGAAAGAGGTTGCTTTGTCTTGCGATTATAACATCCATTTGATGAGTACAGTATGAACAAACATCCATTTGATTATAACATCCATTTGATGAGTACAGTATGAACAAACATCCATTTGATTATAGCATTTATTAACTAAAAATCAGATGTCCATATTGGATGACCTGGCTCCAATATGCCCCGTTCTTTGAAGACCCGATCCCTCACACACCGAAACCGAGCATGGGCATGGCAAAGACCGGTCTGGGCATGGAAATCGCGAGTGAAGGACCCTCAAAAGTCCTCAAACATCTCAAACACCAACAATCTCAATCCACTGGGAACAAAGACCCTCGTTCAAGACCCTCAATTCACACCTTCCAACCACTCAAGAATCGATATCCCACGGAACGTTCGTGCCCTCCGTCTGACTGAATCGGAGGACGGACCACGTTTGGGGGGCCACCGTACCGGTCACATTGGTAATCCGACCGAGGGACTGGTCATACTGGTAACTCATGTTTCCAAGCGACAGCAAGTGACGGCGCGTTCTCTTTGATGTGTGTCAGATCCGTTTTTTGCCCAACCCTGTTCACCGACGTGAGGAGCTAGTCTCATCCTTTGAAGCATTTCACTCGCCGACCCCTCGCCGACCTACCTCTCCCCCTCAGGGGTACCCGACTCGCTCGCTTCCAATCAACACCGTGTGATCCGGTCGTAGGAAACTCCATCCGATGCCTCCCAGGTCCCAGCTCCACAGGTGGTGCCACCTGCGCAGCCGGTGCGCGCGGAGCAGTCTCGCGGATCGCTGGTGCACCTGAAAACACCGGTCTTTCACCAGGTTTAGCAGGAAAACCTGGTAAGAAAACATAGCAGGAAAAAGAAAGACGTCAGGCAAAGAGCAACATGGACCCTTGTTTTCTCCAGATACGATGCCCTTCATGGCTGCGAGGGTCCATGAAAGATCGGCGATGCTGCCCGGTGTGGAACAGAGCGAGCGCTTTTTAGCCAAGGTTGGCTCAACAAAGTGGGCCTTGCCAAAAACAAGAGGGAGGGGAAGAGCTTGGGTTTTTCAACCAAGCCTCCTGACCCTGACCCAACTTACAGAAGGGACATGACCATATATAGATGTTGACATATGTTGACTGTTGATTGATACAACCACACCTACCTAGTGTTTGTTTAACAGTTCATGTGGGGAGTTTTTTTTACACGAAGAATGCTTAAGAGATGTTTCAATTCCAGTAGCATGTTCTACCAGCACTAAAAAGCGTTGTTTGGAGAGAATATGTTTTCAGATTAAAAACCAGTGCCAAAAAGGTAAATGAACTGTACATAAAAAAGGGAGCTAAAGGCAGAGGCAAATCATTGAAAATCCAAAAGGCGTAAAACAAAAATATTAAAAGGCAATTTAAAGGCAATCCTTGGAACAAAAGTCGCCCACCAAAGAAACTCATATGTGCCTTTGATTTGCTTGCCTCCGTTTACTTTGTCTTTTGAGTACCTTTTATTTGCCTTTTTCATACCCTGTCCATAGCCCTTTTGTTGCCTTTGTGTTGCCTTTTGGATGTTCAATTGTCAGCCTTTTTGGTTTACCTTTTATTGACCTTTTTGCTCACCTTTTATTAAATCCTGGAATCGGGCCCTGTCCATATCAACGTCTTTTAATACCAGCACCTTCCGTTCGTGGTCTCCAAATGGAATTCCCTGCACTACGTACGTGGATCTCCATTGGCGTTCGCGCCATGGCGTTCACGCCGTCCTTCGCAGAGACTGCGCCAGGTGGATTTTTCCACCATGGACTCGGTGGTGAAGTCCTCGCACCGGGCCATGATTTTAAAGGCAGAATGGCATCTCGGACCAGGAACACAGTGGTGTTAAACGGTCTATTCTTTGAGGGGAAAGGGGCGAAGGGGATGTCAATTTTTCTAGTGTAAAACCATTGCCCTGTGGCAGAACTGAGAAGAGAGACAGATGTTTGATCCACGTCCTAATCATCATGGCGTTGCACTCCCCAATTGTTTGAAGGAGTCCACCTGCCAGGCAGACAACATCGTGTTCAACGCGTTGTGGATTCATGTCACATTTCATTATCCAATTGGAAGCAATTATAATCAAGCATTCTTTAAGACCAATAGGACCAAGCAAACAAGGCCAGCAGCCTTTGGGAGAACCTCTTACCTGCACCTTCTCATCACAACAAACACATTACCTCTTGTGCTAGCTTCGCAACGCACCCTGCCATTGCAACAAACATAATACGCACCTAGAAGGGTTGATTAGTCCTACGATGGTATTAATCGCCCCCTACCCTTGCACCAACCCTAAGCCCCGCCGAGGCAGATGGAACCCCCAGCACCACCGATGGAGGTCGCTGGGAGTCAGCCCGCGAGTTATAGCGAAGCGCCAGGCCTGGAAACACGCACTCAAACATGTGTTCGGGCTGCATGGGTGTGGTTGTAGACCATCCCTTCGGGCGAGCGGCTCTAATCACGTGACATCCTTTTGAGAAGGTGGTTGGGGTGAGGTTGGGGGGTCTAACTACCTTCTGAGCATGTGGCAAGCGCTTAATATGCCAAAAGCTCAACATGGTCTATTTTGGTCTCCATTGGTCAAAAGAGGCCTCTTCAGAGCCCTCCTGGTGGTTTGGGAAGACCGTGTGCCCCGGAGCATAGCTGAGCTATCAAAAACTCACGTTTCAAGTCATCCGATTCATGTAGAGCTGATGTTCGGATTCACACCTAGGACCCCGTCAGACTCAGATCCCCCACACAAGTCTGAACGTATTCAGCAGACGGTTCACTGCCATCTCCAGCAGACGGTTTCACGCAGTCAGGCCACTCACGGGGAGGTGCTGGCTATAAGTCAGCCATGCAGTTGCTGATGGAAGCCAGAGCCGGCGAGGGCAGATCTGCTGCGCATTCGTCCGCCTTGCAGCTGTTGCGGGAAGATCCTGGGAAGCACTGGATGTGAACTGGTGGATTCACAACTCTCCGATGTTGGTTCCTCATGGTTCCACAGAACCATGAAGATCATGAAGTTGAGTGAGTTATCAACATGTGAACCATATCTTTAAGGGGATACACCCTTAGGGTACACCCCGGCCCTTCCCATGGGGATTGAACCATCATGGACCATCACCTCCAAATCTGTCCGCAAGTGCCTTGCTACTCCCAGGCCGCTGCTGCCCCACGGCGCGGCGCCCGGCGCCGACCTCGACCAGCTCGCGCCCAACGGCGGAAGGAGCCAGGCGGGGATCGAAGGGGTAGGGAGTGCAGATGGGTGGGGCAAGAGGGATCATGAAAGAAAAGACATCGATAAATGTACAAAGATGTACAAAGTGTTGTGAATGTGTTTTGCTTTACTTGAACTGAAGCAGGCCGAGACAAAGTGATTGAGTAGATCCCTTGTGGCGAACATGGCTGTTTCCTTTCAAAAGATCAATATATTTGTTGTTAAGCACAGGAAATATGATCAGCACCGTCCGGGCATGTTTGATTACCAACAATTTTGGGATGATGTGTTGCTCCTTGTGATGCTTGCTTTCCCTTTGTGTATTTGTTCTTTGTGTGTATGTGACAACGTTTTTATATAAGTTAGTTTGGTGTAGTTTGCGTGCGCATTCCCCTGCAAGCTATGCAACACAACAGAAAATACATACATCTTCAAGTGGCGTCATTGTTGTTTAGGTTTCAGTTTCTGGTTGGTCAAGGATGTGCCGATTTGTTTTGGTTTGCTTTGGCTTTGCCTGGTCTGGTCTACAATAAAATATGAACAGCTGGTTTATAATGTGGCAATTATCAACGATCAACGACTGCCTTCAAGCTTTTACTCTTCACATTCACACGGAAAATGGAAGAATCTACTTGTAGCGTCACAGAATTTGAATATCAACTTGCGAGGGTTTTCGTTGGCATGTTCCAACCCGCAAAATGAAAAATATTTCTTGGCGCAAAAACAGATGGCGTGCAGAAAAAGCCGACAAGAAGCACATTGGTTGGGTGTCTCAGTCATCAAAATGCAAAGCCATGTACCATGTAGTCATTTACGGTCAGACGGGCGAATATCTACATCCTTGAGTCAATCACCTCGTTTGCGGAGGCACCCCAAACGGGCCAATCGTACAGGCTGGAGCGAACCCGGCTCTTCGGCATGTCCAGGTCCAAAGGTGGAGCCGTTGCCAGTGCTGGAGCCACTCATCGTGCCCAAAAGGGCTGCTGGAGCAGTGACTCAGGGTCCAACCTAGTAGCGATGGCCTCCACCCTAGTAGCAATGGCATCCCTGTGTCTTACTTTGTGAGCAACAGCCAACTTGTTGCACTAGGTTATGGCAGGGTCTTAAAAGGGAACTTGTGCATGGTTCCTCGCATTTGAGATCAACTAACCTGCGGAATCCTGCGGATGCCTTTTGCAAGATCCAACATGTTGGAAGGCGGCTCTATTACGTTGAATCATGGTGAATCCATTGTGTCCTGAAAGCCCAATGAAGCCCAGGCGAACTTGGATTTGGATGAGCTGGGTGAACTTCCACCGGGCCGAACTTCCACCCCTGCATGTTGTTCTGCTTCTCCGCACCCTTCCCATTCCGGATGACTTGCACCAACATTTGAGGAGATTTGTAGAGTCAGTGAACAATACCAATTATAAGATGTACCATAGATAACATTAGATAACCATAAATTGCATGATAGTGAAAGAAGGGACCTCAATTTTCTTTTTTAAACTACTCCATTGGATGGTGGATGGATGGAGTTTGGTGGTCCGGATGCATGGAGTGTTTTCTGCCTACACCGAGGCATTATTACATCCACAAGCACATCCATCGACATCACCAGCAGGTGAGACCTGAGTGAGTCGGAGTGAGACCTGTGTTGGCCAAGTGATTCACTCATGGCTCAGTGAATTCACCCGGCCGCGGTGATCTGTGACTGTTTCACGGATGGGGTGCAGACTCGAGACCTGCCCTTCCGGGCAATGAAAAACCAGGAGTTTGGCCAGTGCTGATTCTAGGGGTTTGTGAACTGAGTGCCACCGTCCTTTGGTTTGCCAACATGTCACAAACCGATTCTTGCTGGTCCATCCCTGCTATCGTTTGGATCGCTACTACGTGACCGGCTGATGGCCAGGGCCACTCGGTAGCCTGGGACAAGCCCAAAAACGTTGAACGACTTTCGACCTCATTTATATATCATGGGCTTTCGCGGTGCAGAGGATGGCTTCTTTTTGGGTGATGGGAACTAATCCCAGACACTCCATGGGACTGACATATTTACATACATTGGGGTGGTTGACTGGGGTCAATGTAGGTAAATATTCCATACATGGAGCATCTGGGAATTATATAGCCAAACAGAAAGCAGAGCGTTGATTCCCAGCCAGATTGCAGCCAAACAGAAGCTGAGAGGCAACATGTCTGACATGATCATGCAGAGTTATTAAACCCATTCAGTACATGATAGCTGGTTGTAAGCAAAAAGGCAGACTGCTGAGGTGTCAAGATCTTAGTTTTTAGCTGAATCAGTTTCGCAAACATGTAGGATTTATAGCAGAGGGGTCCACTTGTCCACACATTTCATGTCTTTTCACCACCTGTTCCTTACCTCCTTATCCCAGAAGCGCCAGGTGCAGGTCGGCCCGCTCCTTGAAAGTCGACCTAGCAATCGTCAACAACCAGTCAGCTATCATGAGCTACTGTATCAGAGTCAACCCATTGCATCCATGGAGTTACATACCAGCACCCTCCAACAGGTCACCAATTGAGACCTCTCAGGGCCTAACAACCCTCTTTTGGAGACTTGTTGGAGTTTGCTGGTGTATATTATTATGGGTATATTTAAAAATATATATATATATATGTATACATTACCTATATACACTCACCCCTATCCCAGATGCTGCATTGGCCTCTGTGAACATGTGCTCAGTTGATGTCAAACACTCACCTTCGGTCGTTCGAGAGTACAGCATGTTTTGACAAGAGTGCACCGCTCGCTTCTCAAGACTTGAGGGGCGTCTTAGGATGAAAAGGCGCTGGCTGTCCGAGGGGATCTGCTTCCACTGTGTGCAATACACAGTGGTAGCGGAGCCCCGGTATGGGCAGTGAAAGCGCCGAAGGAGTTCCCACCGAAGCGTCGTCGGTGCCATGGAAGGATAAGGACCCTCCACCTGGGTTCGATGGCGACGTTGACAAGTTCAAAGACTATCTTCGAGAGTTGAAGATGTGGAGGCACGAGACGGACGTGCCGGTTCGAAAGCATGGGGTGAAAATCCTCAGGGCCCTGTCGGGACCCGCCAAAGCAGTGTGCAATGAGATCGAGGTGGACCACATTTTGTCGGAGGGGGGTGCTGACGCCCTGGTGACAAAACTGAAGGAGTACTATGCTCCACACCTCGAATCTGCCATGCCCAAGGCATTCGAGAGAGCTGTCTACGGCGAGGCTCGCAAGATGAAGGAGACCTTCGGCGAGTTCATCGTGAGGCAGGATGCTCTGTTCCGATCGTTGAAAGAAGAGGGGGTGACTTTGGACGACACCGTCCGGGGATACATCTTGTTTAGACAGGCCAATCTGTCGCAGATGCAAGAAGATCAGGTCACCACTTGGACACAGGGCAAGTATGACAGGCCTTCAGTGGTTGCAGCTCTTCGCAAACTGGAGAAAGTGCAGAGAGATCGCGGAGGCAAGCACTATGTGACCACGGAGGACATCCACGACGAGGAGATGGACTCAGAGGAGGACAAGGACTTCATCTACATCGGTGAGGATGACCTTACTCAGATATATGAGGAGTCAGAGCTGAATGAGGCATTGGCAACGTACCAACAGGTGCGACAGGCCATTCGAGAGCAGCGCAACGGCAGAGGCTACTTCCAGCCAAAGGGCAAAGGAGGTGGAAGTCCATCATCCAGCAAGGGCAACCGTCAGACCCAGAACATCAAGTTCACCGGAAAGGGCACCCGAGTCCACATAGATGTTTTGAAGCTGCGCACAAAGTGCGCGAAATGCGGCCAGATCGGACATTGGGCCAAAGAATGCACCAACGAACCTGATGGAAAAGGCAAAGGCCATGCAGCATCGGATGGGTCCAGCCCCAAGTCAGGCTTCTTTGAGGTGGTCTCCATGGAGGGTGGGTCTGGTTCGCACGTGTTTCACATCACCCTGGGTCAATGTTTGGAGCATGCGAGGGCCGGAAGACGAAGTCAGGAGCCTCCTTTTTCCGGGATTACCACTCAGAGCACTATGGGCATCGTTGATACTGCGGCTCAAGGAGGTCTGATTGGTCTTCCGGCGCTCGAAAGATTGCAGGAAGCCCTAAGGGTACACCACCTCAAGGTGAAATGGACCGGGAAGCAAGCTCAAGCCAAGGGCATCGGGGGTAGCGCAAAGGTTTGTGGTGTGGTAGAGATTCCGGTGGGCATTGCTGGAGTCAACGGCCTGATTGAGGCCACAGTCGTGGAGGAGGAGGTTCCCTTTTTGCTGTCAATTCAATTTTTGAAGCAGGTTGGAGCAATTGTTGATTTGAATCATGGCAATCTCACCCTCTCCAAGTTCGGCACAACCAGTCCGCTCGTACACATGCCTTCCGGACATGTCGCTGTCGGTGTGCAAGTTTTTCATGAAGATGGTTGGCAATTGCCGGACGCGGCCTGTGAAAAGCATCGTGAGGAAAGCTCGTTTCGTTTCTTTTCAGCCGTTCGGTCTCAAAGCACCGTCTTCATGGTGAAGGGAGGCCCATCGACTCAACCCGGAGGCCATGGACTTCATCGCTCGCATCCGCTCCTTGGACAAGAAAGACGAATGGGAGAAAGTGTCCATGACGGATCCTCACGTCTCGGAGAAGGCAGTGAGAAACTGGAGAGTGATCATGGAGCACGTGGCCGACGTGATGGATCTGGTCCGAGCCCAAATAAGGCTCGAAGCTTGGCAACAAGGTGGATCAGGGCATGGATCGCCACTGCAGTCGTCCTTCAGCCACTTGGCATCGGGATCGGAGCCTTTCTCATGCATGGAAGGAGCAAGCCAATCGCAGATCACCAAGGCGTCCATCTACGCCGAGCTCATCCAGATCGGCGACTTCCTGGGCCAGAGGAAATGCCAAGTACCTCCAGCACGGAGTATGAAGGGCTGCGATCATCCCCCGGCAGCACTGGCCGGAGCGGGCAACCAGTCCCAACGGGAGGTATGGTGCAGGAAATGTCACGCCAGGTGGGCAGTGGACCGCCAAGTGATGGACGAGATCGCGGCCAAGAAGAATACCATCCACGTCAATGGCAAGAGCTTTCACCTGACGGGAAAGTCCAAAGCCAGGGAGAAGTCGCCGCCAAGGACTCCAGTCCGAACTCCATCGGCAAAGAAGTCCACGAGGAGTCCGGGCTCTCCGGGAATTCCGGACACGCCCGAAGGAGCGGAGAAGATGATCAACCGCTCGGGCATCAAATGCCACTGCAAGGAGCTTGCCGTCCAGCTGATCGTCAAGAAGGAGGGACCCACACAGGGAAGACTGTTCTGGAAGTGCGCACGCCGTCTGTGCAGCTTCTTCGAGTGGGATCCGGAGGAGACGCAGTTCCTGCAGCAGCGCCTGATGCAGGAGAAGGAGGACGAAGAGGCAAAGAAGTGGCAGGAGCAGGAAGAGCTCGACCGGCGAGTCCTCATCCAGAACACCATGGAGGTAGCCGAGTCCAGGCACCAGGAGATCATGATGGAAGCGCAAACCAAGCACGCCATGGAGATGGAGACGATGAAGAATCAGCTCCTGTGGATGTCAGCAGTGGCCGGAGAAGAGCGTTTGGACCAAGTGTTCCAAAGCCAGGAGCTACAGCAAGAGATGATGGTCAAGGCGATGAAGATGAAGGAGGAACTCCAGGCGCAAGAGCTCCAAGCCCAGGAGACGATGAATGCACTCCAGGGATATCCCAGTGGGCAGCAGATCCACGGCCATCCATGAGGCCGGAACAAATGGACAGAGAGCTTCAGGAAGACGCCCCTCGGGTCATCAAGCTGAAGAATGAACTCCAATGGTCCTTGTGGACAAAGAAGCAGCTGGAAGATCAACAGTTGAACACCTATGAGCGGCAGGTCGCCGACGGGTACTGGCTGCTGGAGGAGGAAAGTTGGCAGTTTCACCAAGGCATTTTGCCAGAATACGAATCCACCGGTCATGAGGTGGCGGTGGTTGAATTCGCTGAGGACTTCTTTAAGGAAGATCTCTATGAGCCCGGTGAGGACAAGCAGCTGGCCAGATCGTCAAGAAAGGCTCTCAAGAAGAAGATGCGACAGCTGGTGGTCTCAGAGGTATTTTCACCTCCCAGAGTGTGCCAAGAAGCCGAGGCCCAAGGACATCTGGCGGGAGGATCGTTCGATTTAGTTACAGGATATGACCTGACAGTCGCCAAGGACCAACGAAGATGCTGGAAAGCACTGAAAGAAGCAGATCCGGACATTTTGGTGGTATGTCCTCCATGTGGCCCATTTTCAATCCTGCAAAGCCTCAACCAGGCCAGGGGAAGCCACACATTGGCCCTCAAGCTGAAGGAAGGCAGGGCATGCCTCCGGTTCGCCATGGAGGTCTTCCGGTGGCAGACAGCCAGAAAGAAACTGGCGATCTTCGAACATCCATCAACCTCCAAGGCATGGCAAGAAGAGTGCGTGATGAAGATGATGGAGATCCCCGGAGTCCAGAGAGTCCGAGCAGACCAATGTCGTTACGGACTGTCGGTGAGGGAGAAGGTGCTCAACAAGAAGCCGACGGACTTCATGACCAATGGAGAACACACGGCACTCGCGCTCAGCCGGAGATGTGAAGGAGGACATGAACATAGGCACCTGATCGGAGGAATTGC